AAAACAGAAGGAGGACTCTACATTGGACTAATAATTAGCAAGTTGCTCATCAGTGAAAAATAATGGCAATCTTGGATAAAATGAAAATCAGAACGATATTATTGCAAATTCTTCAATAAAGCATCTAACATATTGCAAATTAAAAATTTAAAAAAGCGTTCTTTATTTTGTGAGTTTATTTGTGAAACTATCTGAGAAATAACCTCATTTTATCTTGTAATATTGGAAAATGTTTTCAGCTGTCATTATCTATCACAAATTAAATACTTTGAAAGTGGATTCATTTTAAGCTGTTTAAAATATTATTTGTGTTCGTGCTTAGGGTGAAGAAATGTTTGTGTGCTGTGTTCATTCATAAGTATATGTATTTCGCCAGGATTTTGATTTTGCACTTCCCAGTTTTTATCAAATAACATAAAATTAGCATTTCATGGGGAAAAAAAAAAAAAAAAAAAAATCTTTAATTTAAACAACAAAGGGATTAGAATTTTTGTTACTTTGCAAAAAGTACTTAGTAAAAAGATGGATTTCGAATTTGAAATGTTTTTGCTATTTGGTTAGTAAATTAATTAATATAATGTAGTATACTACTTAGTTAACTATGTTTTTATTGGGAACCATTTAAGGACATATTATAACGGTGGAAATTACTTTTGTTCTTTTTGAAGTTCCTCTATACATTATAAAATTAACCAATTGATCAAAATTTGCATTATACAATAAAATAAGTACTATAACACAACAACGATAAATAGCCTTCTTATATAACAGCCCCAATTAAAATTACTAACTAACTAAAAACAACGAACGTGGAGACATTTCTATTATGTAGTAAAGTAAGCTTTAAAATATTTTGGAAGAACTGGTCAGAAATTATGTGAAAGAAAGTGAATCCAATTTTCATTTTAAAAAATTTTCTTATAATGTGTCAGCTTATTTTAAGCCATTTTATCTAGTAATAACAACTATAACAACTGATATTGTTTCAGATTAAAAATAATGAATGCAATATCATCCATATTTCGAAATGGGCTTATTTAGTTATGCTGTTATAACTACTAATAACTGTTGATGAAACATTTCCACAGCAACATAATTTTGATCTGCTATGCAAGTTTATTTATGTGTTTATTTTTTAAACAAATATTGAATCGTCGAATGTAAAAAAAAAAGCATTAATAAAATCTTTAAATGCCTGTCTTTGAATTTGAGTTCGAACACAGCATATTTAAAACAAGAGACTATTACAAGACTTTGCTAGGATCCTGCTAGCCGCGCAAGACGCTTTGTTAGAAGGAAACAACTGATTGAAAGCATGTGTTCAAATTATCACATCTGTCATTTATCTGTCGAAGAAAAGGTAGGACTTTTGTATGAGTATGTTTCAAAGCTTGTTTTTCCGTTCCGTAAGTACGCCAATCCCCAGGGGTGTAATTACTCTTTTACGACAAATCTGAACTACTGCAGTTCTTCCGAAACGTGAAGAGAATATACTTACGATGACATTACTGAATGATCTGAAAGCCATCTGCTATTCTGAACTATTTTGTACTTTCTTTAAAAATACAGAAGGTTATAAGTACAGGTTTTTTTGCACATCTACAGTTATTGTTTTCTAATTACTGTCATGTAACATAAATGCAAAAGCATTTAATATTTATTTAGTCTTTCGCATAATATATGTCAAAACAAATTTCTCTTAAGTCATCTGTTAATGGCTGAAGTTGCTATGTGTATTTCTTTAATTTATGCTATGGAAGTTAAAAATACAGCGATCAATAAAAAATATAAAATTTCTGCACATGTGAAAATAAAGTTATGGTAACACCATCTCCAAAACAAGAGACAAAATTTTAAAAAAATCATGTTTGAGCTATAATGTCTTGCAAAATCTTTTCTAACATAACGTGACAATTTTCGATAGAGAGACAAGCTTTTTTTTACTGCTTAGACCTAGAGTACTTTTTTTTTTTACTTCTTACTAAACAATCATAGATCCTTTCCCAGATTTTACTAATCAAGGTCTTGCTGGCCTAAGATGTAATACTTTGATAAAGAAAATTCTAAAAAGTTTAGCTTTTTTTATTTCAGTAATTCTGAAATACTTATAAAAATTCGGACTACTACAAATTTTATTAAAACTCATCCTATGATTCAAAAAGGTGCTTCAGACCGCTGACGAAGTTTTTAAATTAAAAAGAAACTGTATTTGATATGGTAATGAAGTTAAAATATCATTGCACCTGCTTAGACAATATTCAATCTAAGAATGCTACTATTTTAGAGAATTCTATGCATTTCAAATAAAAAATAGCACAAATAATTATTATATATTCAGATTATACACGACTACTGCGTCATTCGCCAACAACATACATTCAAAAAACAATAAAATTTTTTAAAAAAAATCTGACAGGTTTCAGATTTTAAATTACGTCCAAAAGGACATTTCTTTAACGTTTTGTGTGGTACCTTTATTTATTAAATATCATGTTCTTTGCACTTACACCATAAAATTCAGTTCAATAGCAATGTCGATAATTAATTTTAAAATGAGCATATATTTAGAATTTCCGGTACACAATTCCGCGCGCTGGAGATAAAAAGGTTTCCACCCCCGTAGAGTGTTGCTATTGCTTGCTTTGAAATCGTTGAGTTTGTTACTCAAAAATTCGTTAAAGTTTCACAAAATATGAAATAGATAATAAAACAAATTCCAAATTTCAAATTTGATCTTCCACATGCCCATATTCGTAGGAGGATTACGTCATTCAAACTTGGATGGCCTTTTTTCAAACCTTTTTTTTTATCACAATGCGAGAAATATACACACATTTACGCAGATTTTCATTATTTAATTACTTCAAATGTAATGCGGGACTCTAACATTTGGTGGCAACAGTCTGAAAAGTGATTCGCCGTTTATAGTGATTCAACGCAAAATCGCAAAAACGTATTAGTATTTAAAACAATAGTCTCTCAAGGACTATTGTTTTAAATACTAATACGCCCTTTGGACTAATAAATAAAAATATGAAAGGTTTCAGATTTTAAACTACACGTCCAAAGGAGCGTTTTTAACGTTTTGTGTGTTACCTCATTAAATATCATGTTCTACGTACTCAAACCATAAAGTTCAGTTCAACAGCAATATCTCAAAATTATTTTAAAATGAGCGTATCTTAGAGTCTCTCGCGCTGGAGATAAAAATGGGATTTTTTTTTTTCGTACGGTGTTGACATTACTCGCTTTGAAATCGTTTAGTTTTTAAAATCAAAAATTCGTTGAAGTGTTATAAAAATATGAAATCGATAATAAAACAAATTTCAAATTCAAATTAGGGCTTCCACATGCCCATATTGTATGGAAGATTACGTTATTTAAATTTTGATAGCTCTAGGTACCGTTGTTTTATCACAATGCGAGAAACATACGTACATTCATGCAGATTCTTCATTATTTAATTTCTTTAAGTATAATACAGAGCGATAATATTTAGTGGCAACAATTTGAAAAGTGATTCGCCGTTTATAGTTTTCAATGAAAAATGCCAAAGCGAAATTAAAAGTCCTTCAGGGCAAATTGCCCCTTTGAACTAAAAATAAAGTAAGCAAACATAAAAAAGTAAATTTTCGTGCTTCTTTTCTTAATAGTATTTCGTTTTATTTATTTACTGCGGTTTTTTTTTAACTGAAATTTGTTACTTTTAGAAAAGTTGCGGGTTATATTTCGGACATTCAGTTGTTAGGCTGTAGGTTGGTTATTTTAATAATTTATATAGCAAAATACAGAAATTTTAACACACCTTTGCCTTTCTGCTTGTAGTTATTTTGCGTTGAACAATGTAATTACAATTATGTAAGAAAATCAAACTCATTGAATTTTTTTCTAATAAAAATCGCATTGAAATCAATGTACATAAAAAGATTTGGAATATTTGAAATGAATTTGAACAGAACTTCATCAAACCAGTATAAGCGACGAATATTGTTCCAAAATGAATAAATAATTCGCCATTATTATTTTTACTATCAAATTAGATTATGCTTCATAAACCCGTTCAAGAATACGCTTATTATAAATTACTGTTAATGGCTAATTTTTATTTGAATTATTGCTGAATTAATGTTATTCTTTACATGTAATTATATGTAACTCATATTAAATGCGGTTAATTAAATGCACTATTCGTTTTGCTTGAATAATTAAAACTTTTAACTTGTCGGTTTTAATTATGTATCTATATATCCATAAGTAAATTTGTTTAAATATTTCCTAATGCTATTTTTTAATTGAATTCACGAGCATTTCGCATATTTCTGAACATTCAATTTAAAAACTAAAGGATATTTTATGAAAATGTTATCTGTTTAAAGAGAGTATTGAAAAAACATGCTTACATGCTACTTTTTTATTTCGCGAAGAATGTCCACGTTTGTTTGTTGTTTATAAACCACTACATGCTCAAGCGTTTTCTTGGCGATTAAACATAGCGGTCTAAAACGAAAAAGAGCAACCCTCTTTGCCTCCTACTGAGAACTGTCATTTAGAGATCTCCAGGGTTCCAGAAATAAGGGGGCAGGAGACATCTGCACGGCCGCTTTAAGGCAGTCATAACGCTTTCGAGGTCTTCACCACTGACCGCCTAGAACCGTCAGTAACGCTTTCGAACACTTTTCCAATGACCGCCTAGAAGCGTCCGTAACGCTTTCGAGGTAGGCCGTCTTGACCGCCTAAACCCGGTCATAACACTCAGAGGGTTAATAACAAGAGGTGATAATACACTGAAATTTTCTCATTTAAAAGGAAAGCTTCTATACACGAAACACCAGTTAAGTTCTGATAGCTTCATCTGATTACTAAGCTATGCTAGTTAAACTACACATACATTTATTTACTTTTTGCCATTGTTTCAACAGCTTCAGTTGGATGCTTCAGGTTTACAGAATTATTAAATCTATTGCAATAATTTAGCTACACTAAATAAATAAATAAATTACCAGCAGGCAAAGAAAAAGTAACACAGTCGGTAACAAAATGACAAGGAAACTCTCCTCTTCGTTGCTTCAGAGATACAGCAATCATGTGACGTATATCAGCAGACAAAGTGCGACTTATATCTGCAGGTACTCTCTTGGCAGCTGGTCTAGTCACACCCGTATGAGACAACAGAAGGGTTAACAGATCTTCCCGCTACAACATTAAATTTATTCATTTCAAAAAAAATTTTTATAACTATTAAAAGAAGGGAAACAATTTTTAAAAGACTGATTTACTGTAATAATTTAATAACAAGTTAAACAGCAAACAACTTATTAAAGGAGTCAGCTATTTTATAAAATCTAATTAAATAATCTTCCATTTAAAAAAAAATACTTCCAAAAGACGGAAAATATAATAATATTTATCACTCAAAATTTTCAAATAATAAGCAATATAATGTATTAAAATAGTAAACAATTTCTCAGACATATTTATATGAACATTTAACATATCCTGCTACAAATTTAAATGTGATTTAACATCAAAATAATCATTCACAAATGATAACCCAATGATAATATTTATTAAAAATAATTTTCAAAAGAAAAACAAAAATTTCTGTTCATTAAATAAGTTACCTGAAAACGAATAGCTAAATGCACTAGTGTATACCCAGCATCAAAAGCTGATGGTCTCTTCAAAAGAGCAACTTCATTTGCATTAAGCTGCCGAGCTGGATCGCCGCCCATAGATAAGTATTCAATAACTGGTTCTGCATCTCCATCTACCACACCAGTACATGCATTTAACCAGGTCCAATCTACCTCTCGATTATTTCGCCTGGCATTGCGAAGTATGCATTCTTCTATGTAGTTATTTTGTGATCTAGGTAAATCACTGGCTGAAGCCAGGGGAGTTGAAACCTAAAATTATAATAATAATCATGATTTCTTAAAAAGATGACTTAAAGTTTCATTTTTAAAGATTTTATTTTAGTATGTACATGTAAAATATTAAAAATACGATGGCTTTGCTCTAAGCAAACAGGCAACCTCTAATTAACTTTCCACAATTTCAGGATCTTCCCCATAGACCAGTACTTTCGAGAACATTCTGGCATGTTATATAACCACTATTAAAAATATCGAGCCATTTTTTAGTCAGACTGCTTCCTACTATCGCTGCTACAAGATTCTGCACTGCTCTGTTCATCTTTCTTCCCTTTGTTAGAATAGTTATGACGTCAAAAGCCTAGATTTCATCTTATTTAGTTTAAAACATTATTTGATATGCAATTTGCAGAATTTCATCTAAAAGAAAAATTATCTGCCATTTGAATTGAATACAGATGTGCAATTAAAAGCAAAATCCTTTTGTGTCATCATTCTGCTATATTCCACTCAGTCAAACAATGCCCGGACTCTGATGCCAAGCTTCCTCATTCCTGTGCCTATCCGTAAAATCATCACACACACATATATAATGATAAAAAAAATTCAAAAAAGAAAAATTTTAAATTATTTAAATTAGCAGAAATACTTTCATCATAAAAACGTTACAACAAATTTTGCAATCATTAAAAATAATTTAATTTAGGCTTTAAGTCAAACAAAAAATATTTTCCTAAACACAATTATCATATTTTCAAAAAATGTTACTCTTACCATAATATAAACAAGTTATATTCAACTATTTTGTGCTGATAATTTATAACTGCATGTATCTTAATTCATCAATTTTAAACATTTGCATATTTAAAAAATTATTATGTCAGCTGAGAAATACAAAGAATAATTTTGCGACTCAACTTTCCAGTCAATGGGGCAATAAAGGTGCACAAAAAAAAAAAAAAAAAAAAAAAAAAAAAAAAAAAAATTTAATATAAAACTAACAAGCAATTTTCAGATTTCTAATATTTTTTTATTTTTACTCTATCCTAGCCTTTACAATAAAAAAAAGCATTCATGAATAATTTCAATAATTATTTTTCATATATCTACAAATGACTTTTCTACAGATATTTATTAATAAAACATGTCTAATGTTTTTAATTACTCATAAACCACAAAAAGTTTGATTCATAAACTTCAAATACTACCAATTTCACCATTAAGCCATACAGCAAGATTCTTTTCAGTGCATAATTTGAAAAATAATTAAATAAAAAGAATAAAATAAAATGTGATAGCAAAAATACCATTTTAAAATTATACAACTAAATAATAAATGAACATATTCTGATATTAGCTGCTAAATTAATAAGGTTAAACCAATATGGGAGACCTACCTGAATTTCTGTAGTCTCAGATGTTATACGATCATTTCGACGGGTTGGGCACACCGGGGAAAAAAGGGCAGTTGGTATATCACGACATTGCCTAGAACGGCTTTCATCATTATCAGAAATAGTCTGAGAAGACTGATCAACCTTAGGTCTTGCAGAATGACATAAAACACACTAAAAATACATTTATATAAGAATATTAATAATTTGTTTAAAGAGAGTTAATAAAGAATAAGAAAAATATATGGTCCAAAATTTCATATAGAAACTCTGGACATACTAAGTTACCAAAAAGAGATGTATGCATAAAATAAGTTTATGAGGGTTTTAGCCACATGGTAAATACTTGCTGCACATGCTTGCAGTCATTCCTTTCTTTTCTAATAGAATGTTTTGCTGAAGGCTACACATACATATTTTCTTCTGAAAAAAATGGCCTTCTCCAATTTGAATATACAGATGAATAGTTTTTTATACAACTTAATGCTGTATTATACTCTAATTATGCAATTTAAGATTTTTATACATTCTTATGTGAATGTAACACAAGCACATTTACCACATTCAACTATCCAGAACATGAGTGAGTGGACACTGCATCCTCTTAGATAACGTATTTCTTCTTCCTGCCACCCCCTTTTTTTCCTTTCTGTCTTTTGTTTTTATTAAACACTATTTAAACTTTGAAAAGGGTATACATTATTCAAAACACCTTATTTAACAAGCAAAGATAAATTACAATGTTATTTTAATTGCCCACATTGCTGAACACATGTCAACGATATAATGAAAATTGTTTCTCTTCATCATCAGCTCTGGTCTAAGAATCAGCTTTAACGGTTGGTCTTTAACAGTAATGATCTTTCACGGTTGGTCACAGATACTGAAATTGCTTATTTCAAATGTTATCATTTCTTATTACCTTCTACCATCAGCTCTGGCCTATAGACGCTAAAAAAGTCAGCTTTAACTTAATGAATGATCTTTAACGGTTGGCCACAGATACTGAAACTGTTTATTTCAAATCATTTTATTTCTTATTACCTTATTTTTTATGTTACCCATATCATTAAGCAGATTTACTGGTGAATGGCACTATTGCAATATAGAAACTGACAAAAATATCTTCATTTATGTACTGAATGATGGAACTGAAAAATCTTTTTGTCTTGAACGTTTTGCAATACAAATCATAGGCAACATAGGCAACATTCTTGAACCAAACATTTTTTTAATAACCAATTAATCTGATTTTGTAAAAAGCAAATCTAATTGCCATTATCCTATTCATTTTGGTTAACATTTCTAAAATGTAAATAATGGAACATACAACACATTTTTCACCATGGACTTGCACAATTCAGGAAATAACTGTAGGCTTTTTTTAAATCAAAAGTTTTTTTATAGAGCAGACGAATCTTTAGATTATTAGAAAGAATCTTTTGAGGTGGAAAGCTTATAAATAAGACAGAAAATTATGAAAAATGCACATAACGGAATATTGTGAGACAAACAATATCTACCCCCTTGCAAATTATTTAAGACTGTAAAATTATTCCTAGAAAAACACTATATTGCATAACAAAAATTATTTTTTCTGAATATCAGTTTCTAATCATAACTGATCACTGCAACATGAACTCGTAAGTCAGGCAGCCAAGTTTCGAGTTTGTAGCCATCCCCTCATTCATCCTGAGATTTTCGTAAGTTACTCTAAATTGCTCCTGACTCACCAGCAAATTATGTAAAGGATTTGCTGCAGGTGTGTATAACAATTTGTCCATTCAATCAGTTAATGCCCAAATAATATAGTTACAAAAACATGAAACTCACCCATTTTATTTTATTACTTTGAGTAATTAATAACCAAACAACATAGCTCTAACTAATAAATTTTTGTCTATTCTAATAAATTCTCACATTCTAATAAATTTTTGCCCCAGATCAGATATTTTTGCAAAGTCATCTTTTGAATTATCACTTCTTTTACCTAGTAAATAAAATTCTTTTCAATTTAAAATGCTTATTTATCACTTTAAAGAGGAAACAGTATATCTTCTTAAAAAGAGAATGCACATTCTTAAAAACGGAAAGCACATGCACTCAGAAAAAAAAAAAAAAAAAAATAATAATAAAAATCTGAAAGCTTTCAGATTTTATATAATACCCTTTTTTAACATTTTGTGTGTCACCTTTATTCTCTCATAGCTCACGTTCTTTGCACGTAAACCACATAAAATTCAATTCAGCAGCAATATCATCACAAAATATTTAAAAACAGCATATCTTTAGAATTTACAACAGACAGTCTCACACACTGGAGATAAAAATGTTTTTTTCTGTACAGTGTTACCATTGCTCACTTTGAAATTGTTGAGGTTGTTAATCAAAAATTCATTTAAGTTCTACAAAATGTGAAATAGACAATAAAAGAAATTTGAAATTCATAGCCTGGGCTTCCAGGTGCCCATGTTCAAGTGAAGAATTACATTATTTAAAATTTGATGGCTCCAGGTACCATCGTTTTTTCACAATGCAAGAAATATACAGCTAAATATGTTTAATGAGAAAACATTCAAGACAAAATATCGATTAACACGAAATGCTATGTATTTTCATGCATTTTGTTTCTCTTAACACAAAATAAAAATCGCTTAACACGAAAAGATATCCTTTCTAGGAAAACACCGGACTCGCAGGCTTGATTTAAGCGGGGTGTGAAATGAAAGAGAGGTGGTTTCACATCTATCTCGTAGAAAGAAGGCTAACTTGGCTTTGAAATACCCTCGGAATAGCCTGTAACACCAGCCAGTTTTGTTTATCTAAGAGACTTTCACATTCCACCTCTACAAACATCTCATCTCTCATCAGTTGGCTTTGGAATTCAGTTTGCAGTGTGAGTAAAAATCAGTGAGTTTGGTTCATATATTGCACTCTGCATGGAATTCAGCGACTCCAAGGACAAATGAAAATTGTTTTCGTCACGCACGAGACTCTTTGGTGCCAAAAGAAATGGAGAAGGAGGATATTGAAACTGAAACAACACTTAATGAAATGTTTGAAAAAGTTTCTGTATTAATGGACTATCCTACTGTCTTATTGGAAGAATTCACTGCAGTAGTTGATGATAATGCGTATACAGCCCCAATTATGACAGACAAAGACATTTTGGAGTTTGTTCAAAGCCCAAAAAATATCATTAATGCAGATTCCGATGAAGAAAATGATATGAATAATGCAGCTACTGTTCCTACGTCATACGAAATGAGGAAAAACATAAAAAGTATGCACAGTTATTTAGACGCACATTTTCAATGGTGAAATGAATAACAAAATGGACAACATTGAACAATTTGTTAACAATTTGATGCTAAAAAAGACAATGCAAGGAAAAATATCAGATTACTTTCCAAAAACTAAATAAATGTTTTGTTTTTCAAAAAACTTTAAAATTTTGTGTTAAATTTCATTAAGTTCCTGTGAATGTTTTTGCTTCATTTATTTTTATTAAATACATGCATATATACATATCTATGTAAAAAATGTACTCTAATAAACTTAATTTTGTTGAATATATGTATATATATATATATATATATATATTCAATATCCTTTAACACGAAAAAATATTTCAGTCCCCTCAGTTTCGTGTTAAATAATTTTCACTGTACCTACATTCATGCACATTATCCTTTATTTAGTTTCTTTTATAATAATAGAGGGCAATAACATTTGGTGGCAGCAATTTGAAAAGTGATTCGGTCTTTTACAGTAACTGAACCCAAAATTCAGTTTTGAGACTAATAGCCCTTCTGAGCTAACACTCCTTTGGGCTAATAATAACTTCATTTTTATCAATACCTTTGCAAATAATGATTAATTACATATTAAGCATTTCTTTATAATGTTCTTGAAGTTTCTTGAATTAATTTCTAAAAGGAAGTTTAGTGCAACACATATTACATCATAAAAACATAACTCAGTACTGCTGAATTATATACATAATTATTTTTCTAAGAAATAAGGAAAAGAGATACCTACTTTTGAGGATTTGGGCCAATTTTCGTAAGTGCATGAAGTACAGGTCCATTTGATTGAGCGACTCCATGACTTATTTCTGTCATTATAATAACTATCTGTAAGAACACATGCTGTACTTGAATCTACTGTAGCATTATTTGATTGGTCAGGTAAAGTGTAGTTTGAAGATTCAGTTGGTGAAGGATATTGTTTGCGCTTAGAAGAACACTGTGTACATTTTGTAGCACGAGGCCAGTTCAGGTACGTACAAACAGAGCATGACCATTTATTATGGGGATTAGGTTGCATGCTGCTACTTTGGGCTGTTGAATTGCTGCATGTTTCAGAGATTAAAGGTGCCATCTATAATTTTCAAAATAAATACAGTTTTATAGAAAGTAAGCACTTATTCAAAAAAATTAAGAAATAATGTAATTATATTTGATCAATAAAATAACACCTCCAAAAATAAACAAAAGTTTCCTATTTCAAAAGCAATTAGCTGAGAGAAATGGTAATCTTCTGTTATCGGAAACCGATTCAGAAATGTACGTTATGTATGTACGTGCATATATGTGTGTACATACATATGTATACACATTATACATATGCATACATGAATGCGTGCACATATGTATTGTTGCGTGCGTATGGGTTCGTTACGAAATGAATGCACAAGTCCGATGAAAAATGAAGAAAATTTATTATTATCACAACAAATATGATTAAATGTCCTCAAATAATCATGTAGTATCACAATATATTACAGTAGTATCTTCTATCTACTCAAACGTTCAAGAGAACTTAATTCAAAACAGCTAAAGAAAGCTAATCCGCGAATTCGCTACAATAAACAAGAGCAGTTTTCTAAACAACAACAAACTAAGTAACTACAACGAACTGAGAGGTTTTATAAGATTTTAAAATCGCGCGCGAGAATTTTCTAGTACTTTCTCGAAATCAAAAAGAGATATTTATTAAATGTTTAATGCAGGTGCAGGTTTAATGCAGGCGCTGTTTATTAAATGTTTAATGCAGGTATTTACAAGTTTCCGGCTTAGCTTTCTTTTAATATTCGTCACGCGCTGCACTGCGCGGGAAATAAAACCATTTAATTTATAAATCAACTAACATAAGCTATTTAAATACCAAATCCGTAACACTGCCCCCTTCCCAAGGACTGCACGTCCCGGGCAGTACAATCATTGGACAGGAAGCAAAATTTACAACTATGGCATAAATGCAATAATAAGCATTACATGACAATAATAAACAACATGAACAATAAATGCAATAAATAAAAGAAATCAAATGCTATCAAATACGATATACACATTTAGAAAAAAAAAAAAGGACCATGGTCTTACATTATTTACAATTATTTACATTACATACTATGGCCATAGTAATGAGCTAACCTGCCGTAATGAACGACTTTAGGTTTAGAGTTTGAAGATTCACGGATCCGAACCACGACGTCATTCAGCCTGTTTAGGACTATGTGGACCATCCCAAAGTGACTGTAATTTAGGCCTGTTCGTCGAATCGGGTTCCACAACCACACCTTGTCTCCTTCATTGGATCTATGTCCAGTAGCTCTCGTGTTGTATCTGGACTTCACTTTCTCCGTTGCCAGGTTGACTCGCTTTCGTGCGGAACGGTGCATCACTTCAAAACGGGCCTGGACATTTTGGATGTATTCCTCAGGCGATGAAGGTGCATCCGTATGGCGATCAACCAGGCAGTCACAAGGCAGACGAAGGTCACTACCAAAGAGCATCTGTGATGGAGAATAGCTGGTAGTCTGGTTTCTCTTTCGACCCTAGTATGATTTCGGCAGCTTCCCGAGCTGGGTCTTTCAGACAAGGCGTCGGCATTTCCAGGTGAGGATCCCTTCTGAGGATGGATAGTCATGTCCTCAGATGCTGAAAACAGTTTGTTGTTTTTGAAGTCTAAGGAAAAATTGTATTTCCTTAAAAAGTCCAATCCGAGTATGCATGGATCTGTAATATCCGCCACATATGCCGTGTGATGGTAGGCGGCACTTCCAAACGTGATGTTCACGTTTAACTTCCCAGCTATGTCGATCTTGTCACCAGACGCAGTCTGAAGGGTAACACAGGATGGCGTCCAAATAAGTTTATCTTTAAACTGTTGAGCTAAATCTCTCCGAATGATGGTAACATTAGCTCCTGTGTCAATGATCATATTGCAAGGAACTCCATCGATATGCCCATTGATGGACAGTCCGTTACTGTTGCCACTCACTGTAGAAATCTTGAGCGCTTTAAAACAAGGTTTTTCATTATCTGGCAACCTCCGTTCCTCGATATGGTCATTCAATTTGTTTCCTGCGTCGTTGCTGGGAAATGGTCTCAATTTTCCGTGCTTCGGGGTGTTCTGCAAGTTCCTTCGTACGTGGCCTTCAGCTCCACAGTTCCAGCACTTTGGTTTCTTGTCACTCCTTTTTCGTCCGATGGCATTTAATTGTCTGTTCAACTTGTCTGTCTTATTTCCCGTGCTGTTATTATTCCGTGCTTTGGGGAGTTCTGCAGTTCCTTCGCACGTGGCCTTCAACACCGCAGTTCCAGCACTTTAGAACTGGTTTCTTTTCACTTCTGTTCCGTCTCAAGCCACTGACTTGTCTGGTAAAATCATCTGTTTTATTTTCCGTACCTCAGGGGTGTTCTGCAATTCCGTCGTAGGTGACCTTCACTACCACATCTCCAACACCTTAGAGCCACTTTGTTCTCGCTCCTACTCCGTATCAAATCGTCGACTTGTCTGGATAAATCATCTAAACGAGCCATCAATTGATCCACTGGCTCGTGGACTCGCACAGCTCTGACTGGGTATCGATCTCTACGAGTTGCTTGCTGGGCTGCCTCGAATTTCATGGCGTACAACAGAGCGCTTTTTATATCCTTAACATCCGCCATTCGCAGTGCTTTCTGTATTTCAGGGTCCCGGATGCCATCGATGAAATATTGCAGGGACAGGATTTCCCTTGTTTCTGTCGGGCACTCCGAAAAGGCGTGATGTGACAGCCTTTCAACATCCGTGGCGAGCTTCTGAAGTGTTTCGGTGGGCTTCTGTTGACGGGATTTTAATTGAAGCCTGCTGTAGTCTTTTAAACACTTTCGCCAAAGCGCAGCTCCAATGCGCCGGATAGAGCTTCGAAAGTCTAAGTCTCTGGTTTTCGGGAAGCGTCTGCAGGATATCCGCTGCGTCTGCTCTCAGAGAAGCGGCGAGATGACAGGCCTTAGCTTGGGAATCCCATCCATTCGCATCCGCAACTATAGAAAATTGGGTCTTATACACTTGCCAGGATGTCTTCCCATCATATGTGGATAGCTTCAGAGATGGACGAGCAGGCATCGGTAAGAATTTAAAATCATCACTGTTGCTCCCTGCCGTCGCTACGAATTTCTTTAAAGTATCCATTTCTTTGGCAACTGCAGAAACTCTCTCATCAATTTGTTGTTCGATTTGTTGTTTAACGGAACAAACTCTTCCTTCTATTTCTTCTTTGACTGAATCAACTCTGTAACCTATTTGTTGTTCCACTGCCGAAACTCTGTCTTCTATTTGCTCTTTCACAGAAGAAACGTTTTCTTCAATTTGTCCAACTTTAATTTCGACCGCGTCTATTCTGCCTTCCATAGCCTCAAATTTATTTTCTATTACGCAGGTAATTTCTCTTTTCATTTCGTTCTGACCTGCTTTCATCTTGTCTTTAAGGAATTTCATCTCTTCCTTAACTGATTCCTGGCCCAATTTCATTTCTTCCTTAACGGATTCCTGGCCCAATTTCATTTCCTCTTTAATTTATTCTTTAAATGAGGCAAAGGCTGATATCAACTGCCTTAATTGCTCTTAAATCGCTCTTGTTATTGGCATTCAAACCCCACTCCTGACACCAAAAATTGTTGCGTGCGTACGGGTTCATTACGAAATGAATGCACAAGTCCGATGAAAAATGAAGAAAATTTATTATTATCACAACAAATGCTTAAATTTCTCAAATTATCATGCAGTATTACAATATCTCACAGTAGTTATCTTTTAACTACTCAAATGTTCAATAGAACTTAATTCAAAAACAGCTAAAGAAAGCTAATCCGCGAATTCGCTACAATCAACAAGAGCAGTTTTCTAAACAACAACAAACTAAGCAACTACTACGAACTGAGATGTTTTCCTCCTTTTATAAGATTTTAAAATCACGCGCTAGAATTTTCTAGTACTTTCTCGAAATCAAAAAGAGATATTTATTAAATGTTTAATGCACGCGCTCTTGTATTTTCAATTTTCCGGCTTAGCTTTCTTTTAATATTCGTCACGCGCTGCACTGCGCGGAAATAAAACCATTTAATTTATAATTCAACTAACATAAGCTATTTAAATACCAAATCCGTAACATTATTAAAACGTTTTGAATTAGCTGTAGAGTACAGAGATATTTAATTTTAACAAATCATGTAAAGATATTAAAAGGAGGGGACTGACTGTTTTGCAGATATCTCCAAAAATTTAGTAATAGTTTATAAAGAGTATATGGTGATTTCCTATATGGTTTTACCACCAATCCTCAAATTCCATATCACAGATTATGTTCTTACTGCATTAATATAATATTAACAAGACATAGTGCACAATAAAAATTAAGCTTTATTTCGGAACTTCGCGCACACTGCCCGACAGCCTGCCTGTTTCGCTCTGCTCGCTACTCGTAAGAAACTTCTCCTCTAGGGTTGCCACACTTATCGGAGGGCGCAAGGCGCGCTCCTTATCGCCATCACCACAGAGTTTCCCCCCAGTTCCTTTAATGGCTATTCAAAGGAACGACATAGGTTATGAAATTATCTCAGAGGATCCGTACTGTCGGGTATTTTTTACATGATTACAAAATTAGAATATAAAATTAGAAAAGATCAAAATGCAATTCAATATATAACAAGGTATTGACACATATAATAAACATGAAATAACAAGAAATATGTTAAGATATGAATTTTAAAAAAATGTTTTAAATTGTTATGTAAGAAGCAAGTTTCTTAGGGAAGTGAACATGTCTTCCCGATCTGGTGACAGTTTGTGTCTTAGAGAGTTCGTTTGCAGATTTATTCTGCTGAACTGTCTTTAAGTCTTTATTTGTTTTCAGTTCAGGCAAATTAGAGTCCGAAAGCAAATAGGCTGGTTTCACACGGTCTATAGACACAGTAGATTTCAGACCGTTAATATCAATTGTGAAAGTTTTGTCCGTTCTAGAAAGGACTTTATGCGGACCTGTATATGGTTGGCACAGAGGTGGCTTTACTCGATCGACACGTAAGTATACATGCGTACACGACTTTAAGGTAGCACT